GTGGAGGAAACTGAGGCGCAGAGAGGTCGAGCAGCCTGCCCTAGGTCAGCATGACAACATGATCAAGGTCAACACCTGCTGAGCCCCTCCCTGTGCCATGGGCCGTGCCAAGCGCTCACTGGCATGGTCTTCTCTTTCTCACCACGCTCCCCGGAGGCGGGTGCTACTGATATTCCCACCTACAGCTGAGGACACAGGGGCTGAGGACACATTGTACCACCCTTGTTCCCGGTGGTACAACGAGTAGCTGAATCAGGCTGTGCACCCTGGCTGGCCGACTCCCGAACTTCCTTTTTTTTTTTTGAACTTTCTAATGGAGCGACTTGGCACAGTGAGTCCTTGATAGAAGCCACTTGTGCTTGCCCCTGGCACACCCCACACGGCACACACTCAGTGGTCCTGACCAGGCTTCCTGGAAGGGCAGGAGTAACACCTGCCGATTGCCCCCCACTGGGGATCCAGTCCCCCATCTAATTCTCCTTTAATGAGCCCATCAAATGAATGGAGCAATCCGGTCAGCAACAGCCCATCAACGACTGTGTGGCTCGGGCTCTCTGGACGCCGGGAGAGGAGCTGGGCCCCACAGCAGTCAACGCAACGTACGTGATGAGGTGCCGCGAGCAGTCGCAGAACAGAACCAGCATGGCCAGGAGCGGCTTGGACTCCTCGGTGTCACTGTTGAGGCACTCCAGGAAGAGCTTCAAGCCCCCGTGGGGGCCCAGCTCACAGATGAAGGCCCACAGCTTGGGCAGCAGGTCGTCGAGGTAAGTGAGCCCTGGAAGAGGACGGAGAGCATCAGCCAGTCTCCCGCTCACCACGGGGAAGCCAACCAGCTACCACGAGTGACCATTGCGCATCCTCGCCGCCACAAGAATAAAAATGGCCACCAACAGCAGGCAACCAACAGGGAACAGGGGCTGGCTTGGAGCCATGGGGGCGCGGTGGGCTACGCGCTGGGCTGTTCCCCGCAAGGTCGGCAGTTTGAAACTATCAGCCACTCACTCTTCGGGAGTGAGCTGTTCTACTCCCACTGAGATCGACCGTCTTGGAAACCCACAGACAGCAGTGAGCCTCCTCAGCACTCTGCAGGTGACGGCTCCTGCCTGCAGAGCCCCACTCTCTCTCCGTTTCGTCAGCGAGGAAACAGAAGCACAGAGAGGTTGAGTAACACTCCTAAAATCACACAGCTAATAGAAGTGAGTGGCAAAGCCAGGAAGAGAGGGCAGGCCTGTCTGACTTAACAGTTAGGCCTGAAGTCAGGGCTCAGGACAGCCTTCGGGAAAGGGCTTGATCAAAAGTTTTTAGGCAAAGCTGAATGCATGTGGCTGTGCTTCGATAAAGCTTTATTTACAACAATAAGTGGGAGGCTGGAGTAGGCCGGTGGGCCGTGGTTTGCTGACTACTTTAAACCACCTGGGCAGCTCAATTACATTTAGCAAAGCACTTTCATTTGCTTCTCTTATTCCACTGATGTCAAAAACAGGAGGGCAATGAAGGGCCACAGGAAAGATACTGTGACGGGTGGCGTGAAATTTAACCCTGCGGAAGCAAAAGGTGAAGGAGAAGGAAGACATTTATCAGCCGGCTTCCTGATGGCTGCAAAGCCTCCCACAGGCCGGCTGCCATCGCGGTTAGATGGAGGATGTGCCCCAAGTGCTTCCTGGGGATAAAGGGAGCAGCCTGCCATTCGAGTCTTGATAACGCTTCTCATTTTGGCAAGGAAGGGCTGCTCAGGTCTGAGTTTTTAACAAAGAACTATTTCGGGAAGTAAGAAAACCTTGAGGAGAGTCTCCATGCTACTTCGGGGTGCTTGCAGCGCAGATGGAAGGAACCGTCAAGGCGGCAGAGAAACGGAACGCCAGTGTAACCAGCCTGAGTAGGTTGGATGCGTGGTGGGTTACACGCTGGACTGCTCACCTGCCAGCTGTGAGGTTAGGTGTTCAAAACCACCAGCCGCTCCTCAGAGGAAAGACAAGGCTTTCCATTCCCATAGAGAGTTACAGTCCCAGAAACCCACAGGGGCGGTTCTACCCTGTCCTCTTGGGGTTCCACGAGTTAGAATGGACTCGATGGCAGTGAGTTTGCTTGTTTTGGGGTTATATTAGCCCTGAAGGGTCGCCTCACATTTTCAAGGTTTGGGGGAGATGGTTACGAAGAGATTTCTCCAAGCAAGAAAGCAGGTCTTCTGGGTAGTTATTTGGGTACTTGGCACACAACTCCTCATGGCCCTGGAATTGATCTGACTCCGGGAGGGGACCCTCTAGCTCAGGGAAGGGCTGCTCCTGTGGTTCCACGCTATACCACAGAGCACAAAAACCAGCCCTGGTGGCCCAGGGGCTGCACAGAAAGGCGGTGATTCAAACCCAGCAGCTGCTCTGAGTGAGAACCATGAGGCAGTCTGCTTCTGTAAGGATCCCAGCTTGAGAAACCCTACGGGGGCCGGGCTCATCTGCTCTGTCCAGGGGGGTCACTGTGAGTAGAACCTGCCTCATGAGCAACAGGATCTCTCTCTCTCCCTCTCTCTCTCATACACACACACACACACACACACGTGCAGAAACCTCACAATCTAAAACAAGTGAACCAAGAAATAGCCTCAGCTGTTCCCCTGTGGGGGTCAGAGGCTCCCCAAACCAGGAGGAAAGGCCTGCGTGTCTGCGGGTGGGCTAGTTCACCGAGGGCTGCACCGGGGGCTCTGGGGCGCCCCTGGCGCTCGTGGTGCCTGACAATCGTGAGGAGTGACACAAACACTTCCTAACTTGTGACAGCAGCCCCGTGCAGCCCGCGTGCTGTTTTCTACAAGTGAAAGAGGGCACACGGAGCAGAACCCGTGGTGCTGCCGTGGGTGACACTCTGGGCCGCTCAGCCCAAGTGAGAAGGTTTCAATGTAATTCACGTCGATAACAATCACAAACCCATGGAGCTTTCGGTCTACTGAGTCACACAGGGCTGCCCTGGGTCAGAATCGGCCTGATGACAACTGGTTGCTTTTCTGCTTTCTGAACACTCGAAGAACAATCGGTAGATGTGAAAGAGGTCAGCAGCCGCAGCCGTGACCCCACAGCACGCAGCAGAGAAGCTGCGAAGCCTCCACTCAGTGAATAGCCTTCCCAGCTTACAAGGGACTTTTGCTCTCTTATGAATTCTGCCAACCCGCTCAGCCAGGGCCGAGTTCCCGGCTGGGGACTTTCCTCCTCGCTGCAGGTAAGCAGTTGAGCATGTCCAAGAGGTATGTACCCAGCCAATAAAGATATTTGATCCTGGGGTTTTGCCAGGATAAAACGCTCAGACCATGACAGGTGGTCTGAGGTGGTGGTAAATGTGCGATTGTGGGCTGTTAGACTGTTAGAGCTTATCTTCTTTCTGCCTCTCTGTCTGTCCTCATTTTCAACCACAGCCAGGCAGGCTCTCGCTAGACAGGAGACACCGGGCCTTCCCACAAGCAATTTGAGCTGTCGGGTGACTGAGGTCTGACCCTCTAGCTGAGGCGAGCCGACGCAGCCTTGCGCACTGTCTGTCTGTTTTCTGAGAAGAGGAAGCTTTCTGCTGAGACGGGCGGTTTGCTCAGTGTGGGCCGCACCTGTGAGGATCTGCAGCCGGATCTGGGTGAGTGTGGTCAGCGAGGTCTGGTAGAGGACACAGGTGTTGCACACCTTCTGGACCTCGGCGGAGTCCACCTGTTTCCCACCGACAGGCTTGAGAATATTCCGCACCGAGGCCGACTTCTGGAAGGCCCGCTTTAGGAGATCTAGCAGGGAGAGGAGAGAGGTGAGCAGGGACGGTGGGGATCTGCCAAGCCCCGCCCACCCGGGGAAGACCACACCCACCATGCAGTTGGTGGTGCTGGGAGTCTCCTCCTCTCTTGAGATACAGTAGCACACGTTCACTCAACAGACATCTCCAGAGTCTCAGAAAATGTCTCGGGGTGAACCAAACCAAACTCACTGCCATCGAGTCCGTTCTGACTCACAGTGACTAGAGGGCAGGGCGGAGCTGCCCCGGCAGGTTTCTGAGACTAACTCTTTACAGGGTGAGAGAACCTCGTCTTTCTCCCTCAGAGTGGCTGGTGGCTTTGAACTGCTGACCTTGTAGAAATCACACTGCAGAGACCTCCTTTAAGGCAGAGGAGCCCCTGGTGGTGCAGGGGGCCAAGTGCTGGACCAGTAAGTAAGATCGGTGGCGCCAATGCTCCCAGGGGTGCCTCCCAGGGCCTGGTGGTCTGCTTCTGAAAGGTCAGCCTTAAATTAAACCCCTCCATCTGTCCTCAGCTCTCGGGGCGGTCACCAGGGATCAGAACGGACTGGGTGGCAACACCCAACAAGAACACATTGAGGTCACAGAAGCTAAGGTGGGGGAGCCTGGCTGAGACGTCCTGTCTGCACTCATCCAGGGAAGCAGGGCTGCATGACTTTCAATACTGATATATTTAACCAAGAGCACGCCTGTTGGGTGATGAATTATCTCCTACTTTTGACTTAAACCTTCCCCTTTATATCCTCCTGAGGTTATGCGCTGGACTGTTCAGTGCGAGGTTAGTAGTTCGATACCACCAGGCGCTGCACGAGAAAAAGATGAGGCTGTGTTGCCGTCTCAGAAGACACCCACAGGGGCAGTTCTACCCTGTCCTGTCGGGTTGCTACCAGTCGGCATCGACTGGACGGCAGTGAGTTTGGGTTTTGAGGTGTGACACTCACTGAGCTCACAGGCACTGACAGCTACAAGACCGAGCTTCCCAAGCACCGGAGGGGAAAAGGCCAGCCCCCCGAGTTCCAGGCAGCTGCTGCTCCCGGGTGCTGTGTCAGAGGCCACGACCAACCCTGCACCAGGGATGTTCACGGGGTGGTGGTTTCGTCTGAGACTCAGTGTCCCTCTTATTAGCCCTATGAGGGAGATTTACAATTAAGAGGGCACAACAGTTCTGCTTCCAAGGAGAAACTGGTCTCCCCGCCCCGTTAATGAGAAGTGAGAAAGTCTAAAAGATCTCTTTTTCATTTTGGCTACCAGAAGGTTCAGAGCCAAGTGTGAAGTTGAGAGAGACCACAGTGGCGCTCCTGGAACATACGCACCATGGACATGCTTCTGTGCTAGGACCGCAGGTTCACTTACTCCCGGACAGGTTCACTACCGCAACCCCCGGGGCAGTTCCACTGTCCTGAGGGTCGCAGAGTCAGCACCGACTCATGGCGGTGGGTGTTTCTAATCCCCGGCCCTGTGTGAGGTCTCGGAGGTACACGCGGGGTGTGATCAGATGCTAACCCGCAGGTCTGCAGCTCTGCCCAGGAAAGGCCTGTCGGACCGACTTTCCCAGAGTGGGTTCCACTCTGGACCACGTGGGGGCGCCGTGGGCTGCAAGGGACTCGACAGCTGTGGGTTTGGTTTTGCAGGGTCGGCCCATTTCCTACCCCTCCTCACTCTCTGTCACGGTCGTACGACACACAAACTTGGCTTCAGCCTCCTCATGTGTCTACAGAAGGAGTCACGGAGCCCGCGAGCGCTCAATCAGGGGGCAGTCCGGGAGGGGCGTCCAGCCCCACAGGTCCAGCACTCACTCTTCACTGGAAGCACGTTCTGGGGGGACGCTGACGGCACGGGGGCCACCTCCTGGGTCTCCAGGAGCTTCTTGTTGAGGATGTCGCTGAAGAAGAGGCGGATGAGAGGCACGCCCCACAGGACCTGCAGCTGCTTGGTGACCAGGGGCATCGACTTGTTTAGGCTAGGAGAAAGCAGGGAGAGATGGGGCGCGGGATGGCTGGAAAGTGAGGGTCCAGCGTGATCCCGATGCCAGCATTACAGTGCACACATCGTTCCCGCAGGGCTGGGATGTGTGGGCCCTGACCTCCTCAGTGCTGCTGCCATCTACGAGACCGTCTCTGCACCTGCTCCCCAACTTCTCCATCGGCCACGGGCACAGCTAGCCTGCACATCTGCCCTGCAGACCAAAGTAACTGCCTTCTAACAAAGCCCTCACCTTCAGGGCTCCCCAGCTCCACTCCACCCTGTGCCCTCGGTCGGCCGGCACCCAACTCTTCTTTGGGGTCTGCTGCATCAGCACAGGAGCCCACGACGCCTCCTGTCCCGTCCTCTCAAAACTTGCAGCATTATTCACGGTCGCCTAAGAGCTGGAGTCCTGCCCAGCATGGGCAGGTCTGGCAGTTGTGGGGGGAGGTCAGATGCGCAGGCATTCCCTCCCCTGAAGGCAATCAGTTGCCAGACTGCTGTCTCATCCCTCCACCTGGGTGGGCCTGCTCCCTGCCTCTGGGGACAGTGGACAGGCTCCTGTAGGAGGAGTTTTCACCCTACTGATAATGGTTCCTATGGAGACCCAGAGACCAATCCCTAGACCACCCTCTCATTGCTGTGTAACCTATAGTGCAGCTCCTCCCTGTAATGTATGTCTCTACATGTAATTAGTGGGCTGGCTTGCCCCCAAAAGGTATGTAGGTGTGAGTCAGCAATATAGATCGCTCTCTGACCTCCTTGCTGCTCACTCCCTGGTCACTCCCCTCTCTTCCCCCTCTCCCTTGTTCCCTTGCCCTCCTTCCCTTCCCTCTCTCTCCATGTGGACCACCAAGCTGGGCTGAGGTGAGCAATGCTGCCATGTAACGTGTCTGACTGTATTATTGTAATATCTCTCATGCTCTCAATGACTTTAATATAATACTTATATATCTCAACCGTACAACTGTGCATTACTGAACCCAGAAGTAGTATTACTGAACCAGTGAGTTCAAGTAGTGGGTGGGGCTGGCTCCCCACTCCTCCGCTTCATATTTTAATTTAATACTACAGGCGGTAAGGCCCTCTGTGTGCATTTGCTCATGGGATCCCTCAGGGCGACCGTGAGAAGGAGCCACACGTGTCAGGTGAGGACATTGAGGCTGGCAGAGGTAAAGCGGCTTGTCCACGGCCCCTCAGAGAGCAGGTGGTAGTGCCGGGAGCCATGTTCCTCGCTTCTGTAAGGTGCTCCACCCTCTGTCTCCCAGAACCTTTCCCACCAGGCTGCGTGGGCTGCGCTCTCTGCAGGCTGGGGCAGTGAGCGGTCTTCCCTGGAGTCCCAAGGACGGCTGCTCAGGCAGGTCCAGGGAAGATGAAGTATGGCAAAGGGTTCTAGGTCTTTGCCCAGAGCTCCTGGCCTGAATCCCGGACCTCAGGGTTCGGAAGAGGAAGAGGAAATAGCTGCGCCAGGTACCTCTTTACCTCAGCGCAGGGGGTGCTTTCAGCCTCTGGAGGCTGCCTTACTGAAATCTCTTTTCTTTTCCTTTTTTTTTAAAAAACTGAAATGTTTTCTGGTAGCCTCGTGTTTTACACCTACACTTTTCAAAGGGAAAATTAAAAAAAAATTATTCCACTTCTTGAAATAGATCCTTTGAGCCCCTTGGTTTTTTTTTCCAGTTATGTCTGAATCATAGCAGCTCAATAGTTACTTGAAAACAAAGATGAGACTGTGGGGGTGGGGGTGGGGGTCGGGGGGTGGCAGGGCAACTAGACTTAGGGAAACAGAACAACCAAACAGAAGTAATGAGAACGTTCATTCACTGTAAGGTCTAGCACCAATGCCAGTGAACGATCTCTAATAGAAAACATTGAACAGGAACCTAAGCTGCTGTGGAGACCTTTGGGGCAAACACAACCGAATGTTATTATTTTTACTCTGCAGCAGCTTGGGTCAAGGTTGACAAGAGAAAAATTGGTTCACCATTTAGCAACTTAAACATATTTTGTTCCATGACACTGGTCGCAGTTCTCTCCACCTAACAGCGCCCTTCTCATCTCCTGCCTCCTGGGTCCCTGTTTCTATCTGTCCTTCTGTCCAGGTCTTTTCTGCCTTCTGAGCTTTTTATTTTAAATTTTTTTTAAAGCAAATGTAGTCCTTTTGGTTTCGTGTGGTTGATTGACAAAATATATCTATGTTTTTAAGGGGCAACCTAGGTCACTAATAAGGATTGGGACAGAGAAGAAATGATAAAACCAAAAGAAAAAGATAATAAATGGGGTCTTATATATTGACACTTCCTGTATTTTTACACAAATAACGCACATGACATACGCTTTCTGGCTACTCCTGCGTGCCGCGCACGCATTGCTTGCGTGGGCATGCTAGACAGAGAAAAGGCTGGAAGATGTCCACAGAGGCTGCCTGTAGGAAGCAGGATTATGGGATGGTCTCTATTCTTCTGGTCTCGTCTCTAATTTATGCTAGGTGTGTATTGCTTTAATAAGGAGCAAAACCTTCGCAGCTGGCAGGCAGGCAGAAAGAGCGAGGGGTGAAGGGCAGGAAGATGGCCACCTGCCTCCAGACTCACCCATAGTCCACAGACTGGGAGAACCATCCCAGGACAGGGTGCCAGTGGGTCAGGTTGGACTTCTTCTGCGACACGTACTTCTGACAGTAGCAGAGCATCTGGGTGAGCAGGCGCACGAACCCGTCCATCTCCTCCTCCAGGACCCGCGGGCTGAGGGAGCCCATGTGGAGGAGGTTGCCTGCAGGAGAGAAGGCGTGTGTGACGGGCCGCCCACCAGCCACTCGGGCTGTTACACATGTGCCAGGACTTCCACTGCATGAGGAGCGGCCCGGGCCTGTGTGTGTATGTAGGAGGGGGGCTGCCGCGCGGGGCGCAGGGGTCGGAGAGAGGGCTCCAGGAGCAGGCTGCCCTGATTTGGAGCTGAGCTCGTTCATTGGCCAGTTTCTGCAAGGACGACTGAGAGGCGCGTGTGAGAGGGCGCTGTGTGAGGGTGAGGGTGATGTGAACATGGAGGGTTAGATGAATGTTGAGGGGCCACGTGTGTGAGGAGTCTGAAGGTGCCGACTCTGAGTTGTTATGACGGTGCAACATTACACTATCACTGGCATGCTCCAACTCCGGCCCGTGGGCCACATGCGGCCTGCCGAGGACATTTATGTACTTCAAAATAAGATATGTGCAGTGTGCATAGGAATTTGTTCATAGTTTTTTTAAACTATAGTCCGGCCCTCCAATGGGTCAAAGGGACAGTGAACTGGACCCCTGATTAAAAAGTTTGAGGACCCCTCAAAACCAGGGCTCAGCATAAGCAATGACCTTTGGAGGAGGATCTGGGGGCCTGGAAACTACGATGACTCCTTAACACCCCTTGTGGGAGGAGTTCCACAGGAAAGTATCTTTACACCTGGCCCATGACATCTTTCTGTACCAGATACAATTCTTCCTGCCAGGCAGTGAGGATTACGGACCTCTGCTGACTTTCAATGCTTTTCCCCAGAAGCCTTTTCTCTATACCAAAGAGTATTGTTAAAAGGGCCAGGGCCCCACCCAGTTTCTCCTCAAAGCCCCACCCACCACACCGTACAGGCCAATCCCGGCCACCACTCCAGGTCCATTTTTCCCTTGGTTGCCCTGAGGGACCCAATTGAGGGTAGTCTCCAGTCCCTCAACCAGCTGTCAGGCTGGCACAGTTGCCTGTCTCTTTCGGGGTCTCGCTGTCCGTCTTATTGTCCACCTGTCCAATGAGCCACCCAGGCAACTCCCGACCTCGGCAAGGGTGCTTCAAAAGGTTCGTGAAAAGGTGGGATACAGAGATCCTGGCACATTCCACGAAGGTTTGGCAGCCCCCTGCAAGGCAAGCGAAAAGCAAAGCCCGCGGGCATCTTCGGGTTCCCAGGACGCCGTCAAAGTCCTCCTCATGGGAGAAACTCACCCATGAGGCAGAGGGTATGACAGCCTTCTAAGCTCTCACACACGTCACGGCACCGCTCTCCATCTCTTAAAAAGATGATGAATTTACGAAGCAGGTCATGAGATTCTAAAACAGTGAGTCGCTGTGAACAAGTGCAGACAGTTAAGGCGGGCGCGGGACAGGTGGGCCACCAGAGCATGAAGTCAGTCCCCTGCAGGCTACTCTTGGGGGACCAGGGCGAGACCTGTTTTACGGCGTGTGCGTGTGTGTGTGTGTGTGTGTGTGTGTGTGTGTGTGTGTGTGTCTCCCCACACTGGCTATTGGCTGAGAGGTAATGTCTTGTGTGTGTGTGTGTGTCCCCACACTGGCTATTGGCTGAGAGGTAATGTCTTGTGTGTGTGTGTGTGTGTGTCCCCACACTGGCTCTTGGCTGAGAGGTAATGTCTTAGATGTGTTTGTGTGTGTGTCTCCTCACACTGGCTATTGGCTGAGAGGTAATGTCGTGTGTGTGTGTGTGTGTGTGTGTGTGTGTGTCTCCCCACACTGGCTACTGGCTGAGAAGTAACATCCTGGGTGTAAGGTGGGACTCAGCAGAGAAAACCTTTTCCTTTCTCACTTTGCAGGAGCTGAGTTTGGGCAGCGAGGCTTGCCGAGCCCACTTACCTCGGGGGCGAGCGTGCTGAGATGGGTCACGAGAGCCGGCACAGACATGATGTGGATGAGGAACGGCCGGAGCAGGTTGTCTGAAAATTGTGCAGCAAGCACAGGGCTAGACAGACAAACCACCTCACTCAGACATGTCCGTGCGTGCACCAGAACCAGAGGGTAACCCCCCAAGGATCCCTCAAGGAAAGCAGAGAGCCAACGCTCTGCCATCGGGTCGAGTCTGACTCACAGCAACAGAGGGTTTCTGAGGCTGGAAGGCTTGGGGAACTGAAAGCTTCAGCGGTCTCTCTAGACCCCCCACGACTAACAACACTTTGTGGGGTCTCAAGGGAAAACGGAAGGGAATGTTCACTAGAGAACAGTTAATGTTGGCACAATCATGTGATGTCAGACCATGCAGCTCTTAAGAATCAGGGGCTACGCGTCTCTTGGTTCACTTGGCATAATGGGGTTCACAAAGTCAGTACCCTCCCTCCTACTTTGGTGAGCAGTGACTGGGCTCTTAGAAGCTTGCAATTGTATCTAAGATACAACCGGCTTCTTCTCGCCTCGTGCAAAGGATAAAGAAGGGAACCAAGCGCTCCAAGGAGAGAGGCGTCTGCGAGACAGACAGATCCCATGAGTCACAGCCTCAGCTAGCTGGAACCAGAGCAACTACATGGTGCCCAGCTACCGTGACTCCCCATTCTAATCAGACCACAACAGACGGGTCTTGAGAAATGGGAGAAAAGTGTGAACCACAATCTCACATGCCTCAACATGACACAAAACACCCCAGACTTGCGGGACTGGTTGAGACCGGAGGACTCCTCAGGCCTACTGTCCTGAAATACTCTTTGAACCCTGAACCCAAACTGACCTCTGACTTCAGCTCGCAGCCCCAGGTTGGCTCACAGAATAGTATCCCACTTGGTATGAGACCAAGCGGTCGATGACTGCAGGCAGTCCCGGGATCTCTTTAAACCTTAAACCAGAAACGTCTCCCTGCTTTGGCTGTTGAACAAGTTTTGGGGGCAGGACAGTTTCTCACAAGTTCCCAAGGGGAGAGTTAACATCTTATATGCCTTCCACGGGGCCTGGTGCTGTAGTGGGTACTCACTCACTGGACTGCTCACAAGGTTCAGCGGTTCTAAACCACCAGCTGCTCTGCAGGAAGAAGGCGGGGCTTGCTACTCCTATCAGGAGCTACCGTCTGGGAACCCCCCAGGGGCAGTTCTACCCGGTCCTGTGGGGTCACTACGAGTCAGCCTCACACCATGGCAGGGAGTTGTTGCTGTTGTTGCTGCCTTACATGTCTCCAAACGGAAAGAAGGCAACTGTTTCTGCTTCTCCACGTCCAAAAACTATCCCTTGCATCTGCTACCCTGGCTCTTGGCTGGGTCTCCTTCGACTCTCAAAGTGTCCCTTTGTCACTTAAAAAGAGATAGAGTTTGCATCTTGGCCATTCGTTCTGAAGGATCGCGTTACAGAAACATTCAGGGAGGGGCACAGACAGAGAATTAAGAGAGAGAGCAGCAAGGGACCCATAGCTCTCACCCAGAACAACACTTCCTAGACCTTCCCAGTGACTTCTGACCTCGTGGGCAAGCCCCCACCTAACACAAGTCGCCAGAGGAAAGAACGCCAAGAGGGGCGAGCACTGAGAAGCACACAGACCCCCGAGCGGTGGTCTCTGACTTACCGCAATGCTAGGGAAAAGGCTGCAGTTAAAGGGCCTTTGGACAGAGCAGGCCGGGGTCTCGCCAGGCCACGCGTCAGCAGGATCTGAAAGATCATGTGAGCTGGTCAGGGAGGACAGCAACTCTCTCGTCATTTGCACATAAACAAGGATGTGTGTGCATGTGTAACTGTATATACATAAATACGAGCAAGTGTAAATAACATAAATATGTCGTACAAAGGAAATGTATACATAAATGACGTATAATAGATAAATTAAGTATGTTTGTAAAGTGTGTGTGTATAGAGAGTGATAAATCGATCACACCAAATTCACTGCATTGAGTCAATGTTGACTCACAGTGACCCTATAGGACAGGGTAGAACTGCCCCTGTGGCTTTCTGAGGCTGTAACTCTTTATGAAGCTAGAAAGCCCTGTCTTTCTCCCAAGGAGCGGCTGGCTGGTGGTTTCACACTGCTGACCTTGCCGTTAGCAGTCCAGCGTAGAACCACTACGCCACCAGGGCTCCTTGATGTACATATAGGAAAGCACAAAAACAAAAGGAGCCCTTTGGATTAAAGCAGCGGTTCTTAACCTGTGGGTCGAGACCCCTTTGAGGGTCGAACGACCCTTTTGCAGGGGCCACCCGATTGGTAACAGAGCAAAATGACAGTGATGAAGTAGCAATGAAAGTAATTTTATGGTTGGGGGGTCACCACCCCATGAGGACCTGTATGAAAGGGTCGTGGAGTTAGGAAGGCTGAGAACCACTGGACTAAAGAAAAACAAGCCATTACAATGTTTTTTTGAAAGGGAGAGAAAATATGGATGTGGCCCAAACCACCCGCCCTGCTGCCATCGAGTGGATTCCGATCCATAGCAACCCTGCAGAGATTTCCCAGGCAACAGCGCTTTCATGGGAGTAGAAAGCCTCCCTTCCTCCTGAGGAGCGCTTGCTAAGTTCACACTGTCCTCTTGTGTCAGCAGCCCAGTGAGCAGCCAAACTACGCCACTACGGCAGCTTCAATGGGTCTGCACGTTCATCACCTCTCTCGCTTTTAGGGATGTGCCCTTTAAAAATAATAAGCAATGTACAAATGACTGGTTGATTAAAAACAACAACCTTGAAATGCCAGGATACCATCTTAGTTTAAAAAGCAGCTCAGAGTTGTGGGGGGTCCCCCGAAAGAGACAGGCTGTGGGTAACAACCCCTAGTGCCCTCCCAGCACCTCCCAGGGCTGTTGGCAGGGGATGCTGGCACCCCTCCTGTCCAGGCACCTGTCCCGGTGCCGTGTCAATGCAGGGTCTCAGAGTGAGGAATTCCAAAGTGTTTTAAACAGCCATTCGCATCTGACCCTGGAGGTCTGTACTGGCCCAGCACGGGACAGCATGGACGCTGGCCGAGACAGAATGCCGGGGACAGCCACGAAGCGAGCTGAGGGAGGAGCCCCGGCCTCCCTCTAGAGTTGAAGTCTCACATGCCTGCATTCCCATCAGGAGAAAGCCGAGGCTGCCCACTACAGTCGGGGAAACCGCAGGGGCAGTTCTAATGTGTCTGATAGGGTCGCTATGAGTCGGCACCCACTTGATGGCAGCGGGTTTCACTTTGGTTTAGAGATTTGCCTCAGGAGGCAGGACGGGGCTCCCGGCTCCAGCCCTCCCCTCACGAGGACTCTGAATGTCCCCGGGTGGGGGAGAACCAGTCTCCAAAGGCAAGCCCCAGAGGCGAAGGAGGACGTGGAGGTCCCGTGATAGGGGCAGGGCCACCGACCTGCAGCACGGAGTAAAACCCGTGCATGTTCAGATGTCCCATGATGTTCGCACAGATGTGGTTCATGGCCGGCCGCAGACTGTCACCTAAGCAGACAGAAGAGTCAGGGCATCTCGGGCTGGGATGTGAACGGCGTGTGGTGTGGGGACGGCAAATCACACCCCACACCACTTAGGTTCAGGAGCTCCGGCACACTGGCACGGTTCCGCTTTTGGATTTTAAATGGTAGCTGCTCTCTCTGACGTTCCTCCAACCCCTTTCCTGCTCCCCCTCCAAGGATTTGGTCCTTTCTGCTCCCTGTGGTGGCCTCCTCTCCATGGTGGGGCACAAACTCAGCACCTTTTAACACCTCCCTGGCCCCCTAGGGACCCGGATACAACCTAAACGAAACCCTCTTTCCAGGCTCAGGGTCAGACTTTGCACCGTTTCGACGGCCTGTGCTTCCCTTCCCTTCTCTGAGAACTCCCAGGCGCTCCTTCTGGGTCTGGGAGAAGGCCCTCTACTTGGCACCTGCTGTCCAGGAGACTCGGGCTGGGCGGAAGCGCAGGGCACGCAGCGGAGGTCATTCAGCGACAGCCCATGAGCAGTGGTCTTTCCTGTGTGGCTCATTCCCCGGTCTCCAGTGGCAGTGCACGCACAGCGTTGCCCCGCGACACACAGTCCCTCCCCCCATTCGATGAAGGGATGAATGAAACCAATTCACGAGACTCATTTGGCCAAGGACGACTTTCAGGGGAGGGGGCGGTCACCGGGCCAATGTTCGGGGTAAATCAGACCCTATCGCCTTAGCTTTTCTGAACTGCAGCACGCAGGTGGAAATGGCTCTTAGCCCTGAGGCTGAGGTGCTCGGGGAGTTAGAAGCGAGATCCACGGGCCTGTGTCCTTAAACATAAACCCGGAGGGAGAGACCACAGCGCACCGCACTGCGCGAGGTGTACTCTGGCTGCTGTGACAATGCATCCTGGTGGGTCTTGCCGGGGGCACCTTCGTTTGTACAGGTGGTGGCAATAGACAAACTACCTCGGGAGGCGAAGAGACCCCACCCCCCACCCCGCCCGGTCCCCCAGTTCTCCAGGGCAATGCCCTCCGAGGAAAGCTCTCGCTGTCAGGCCCACTGACCTTTCCCCCGGAGAATCTTCCAGGTGGACGTGTCTGTGAAGGTGACCAGCATGGTAAGGTAGAGCGTGATGAGTCGGGAGTCTTGTAGGATTTCCGGCTGGAAATGATAGAGAAGGTCAGGCTCGAACTCGCCCCCTGTGAGCCAGACAGCCATTTCCAAGGGCGTGCAGAGGCAAATAAAGGAGGCAGGAAGGCAGGCTCATCTTTCTGCCTTTCCTCTCAGGGAGCTAGATGTCGCGTGAGTTCAGCAGATGTGGACTGGCCTGAGGAAGCGGAGCTAGTCCTGGGGACAGAGAACTCAGGAGTCTTGGAACAAAATGGCCTGGTCTAGTTTAATTTACCTACCTATGCATAAACCCAGGGGCCCTAACAAACCAGACACAACACACTGTGCCTGTTTCCCCATCTGCCACCTGGGCACTGGGACAGTGCATGGATCCACATCCAGAAGGCACAATTAGCTGTTGTTGTGACTGACTCCTGACTCCTTGGCAGTGTGAGCACCTGGGGCGGTCCCTGGAGACCACCCGGTTCCAAGGCTTAAACCATTGTTTCCCAAAGTGGGTGATACTGTCCCCTAGGGGGCGCTGGAATGATCTCGGGAAAGCTGCACAAGCAGATACCTACACTTTATCCTGGATGGATAAAGAAATGGTTTCCAGAGCAGCAACGGTTTTAATGGCTGGGGCAGCTTGGTAGCACTGAGTAAGGCTTTTTCCTGAAAAGGGGTGGTAGGCCAAACAAATTTTGGAAACATGGATTAGCAGCTGAGGGCCCAGCCATTGCACTGCCAGGGCTCATGAAAGGCGGGTTAATGGTCAATAGACTGCTGACCGAAAAACCAAACCAAACTCACTGACATTGAGTGGATGCCCACTCACAGCAACTCTCCAGGGGCAGGGTGGACTGCTCCTGTGGGTTTCCGAGACTGTTACTCTTTAGGGGAGCAGAAAGCCCCATCTTTCCCGAGGCCCGGCTGGCAGTTTCGAAACTGTTGACCTTGCAATTGGCAGCCCAGTGCCCCCAGTGTACGTCAAAGAAGGGCTCATATTGCTACATGCATCCACCTCACACTCCCCCAGAAGAGAGGTGAAGAGGGACAGACCCTCAAAGGTAGCACCTGTGAGAAAATCCCGGGAATGCTGGGAATAAACACGTGGAAGCTCTTAAAGGGCCATGGCCTGGCTATTCTTACCTTGAACTGCCGAAGGAATTCACAGCAATACCACAGAATGGTCTTGATCTGTTTAATCCACAGGAGCGTGAGATCCTTGGAAAGAGCCAGGGACACGTACCACACCTACATGCAGGGAAAGGAGACCGTTGAAGAGAGCATATGCTTGGTCAGGTCCAGTGCCAGCCAAGGCCGTGGGGGTGAACAAGCCCTGACGAGGGGGGTGAAGCGTCCCTCCGACACTAACCCAGAGGCACGCAGCCCCTCAAGGAAGGTCCCCCGGTGAGTAAGTGGCAGAGCTAACACACAGCACGCTAATGTTTTCCGTCCAACACTGATAGGCACGTGGATGTGAACTGACAGGGGCCTAATATCCCATGGAGACTTTCCCGGCCTCTTGAGTGCTAACAGCAGGTGCTCAAGCTCCCCAGCCCACTGACCTTGGGTTCATTCTCGGCGTCCATGCTGCTCAGGATGTAGCGACACAGCTTCTCAAATCTCTGGAAAGAGGCAGGATGGGGAAATCCCAAGACACTTCAGGAGACGTGGGAGTGGGAAGGACGCGTGCCTGGGTCTGTGCCAGGCAGCACCCCTGGTGATGCACACCTGAGGCGGTAGCTCTGTCCTCCTCACAGCTAGAGAAACCGGGCACAGGGGGCCTCTCAGACTGGCGGCCCCTGGGGGTGCCTGGCCCCCCCTGAGGGGCTTGGCTTAACCGGCTCTGTGGGTTTGAAGCTAGTGGTGTGTTACATTAAAATCCAGAGTGGGACATCTTTTGAGGGAAAGACACGTGTGCCCGCTCTCTCTTCCGTGGGTTTGTGCTCTCTGGCCAGCAGTTGGCAAGCCCCACAGGGTCGCTATGAGTCGGCATCACCTCAATGGCAGTGATTTTGTTTTCTGAGTGATGGAGGGTGCGGAAGGTGTTTCACGGCTGGTCTCAAGACTGGTGGGTGAACCCCAGCTGGAAGCGTCATTGGAGAAAGGCCTGCCTCCACGCTTCCTCTCGAACGATGGCTAAGGCAGACCTAAGACACAGTTCAACTGGTGGGTTTGAACCATTGACCTTGTGATTCGCAGTCCACGGCTCACCCGATAGGGCCACCAGTGATCTGTGAGTTGCTACTCGAGTTATATTGTGGTTTGTCTCAGAAATGGTTTAGCTACTTTATACCTATACGTATCCAATTCCTCCAAATAGTTCATGTGTTCGGACCCCTGATGGCACCCTACGAGATGGGTCCTGGGAAAACACAGGGGAAAGGACGTGGGGTGGCAAAAGTACTGATTTTGAAAAGTCGCATGAGGACCCCAAACCCCAAACTCACTGCCATCAAGACAGCGACAAGCCTAGAGAATGGGGCGGACCTGCCTCTGTAGGTTTCCAAGATGGTACACTTTACGTGAGGAGAAAGGCTCATCTTTAACCCACAGAGTAACTGGTGGTTTTGAACTGCTGACCTTGCGGTTAGCAGCCCAATGCACAACCATGACGCCACCAGGGTTCCTGTATAAGAACTAAGCCAGTCGGTACTTGTGAAATCCCTACCCAGAGGCCTTGGCCAAGAGACCCGGCCTCCAGGAAGTGCTCTGCGCATGAGCTGGCAGGGGGTACCTCGTTATCCTCTTTCATCCTGAAGATGAACAGCAGCTTCCGGGCAATCTTGAAAACACAAAGGGCTCTTCTTTTCGCGGAGCCGGGGTCATCGGCGCCCCAAAACTCATCGACCTCTCTCCTAGAGAGGGACGATTCAAACAGACACACAAAAGTAGAAAAGACACCTTAAATCCAGGCTCCCGGCAGCTCTGCAAGCCCCAGAGAAGAGCGTGCTTTCCACTGTGTGGGAGCCCATGGCCACTGTGCCCGGGCCTCCCCGGCACCCACCGGATGTCTCTGTGCAGTTGGCTCCGACAGCGAAAGCTCCGGAAGTGGGCTTGAATCTCGACGGCGGCCCGCTCCCGCTCCTTCTGCACTAGCCTTTCCTCTCGGGCCTGGCGGGCCTTGTCGATGAAGCAGGCTTTCGAGGTCTGCGACACGGTGAACATCTCCGCACACCTGGCAGTGAGGCTACAAGGCAAAGGGCGAGCGGCTGGGGTGTGCCACGGAGCGCCGGTGCCCGGCGTGGGCGGCAGCACGTTCCGGGATGCGCACAGCCCTTCCAGCACAAGGCCAGGCTTCCTTTCAGCTACTGCCCCGCCACCCCCTAAGGCCAGGGAGGCATCATCCTGTAGTAAGTAACGACATTTTCGTGTGAGAGGAAGAGGCCCGCAGACCAGCTACATCGAGGCCAGGGTGTTGTGACTGTCTTAACCGTGCACCCGCACAGCGCCTGGCAGAATGAACGCATCCCGTCCATAAAACTCTGCTGGAAACCATCCCAGCAAGGTAAGTGAATTTCATGGTGCTGTCAACAATGTGAAGGAGCTCTGGTGGCGTAGTGGTTACTCACTGGGCTGTTAGCCCCAAGGTCAGCAGTTCAAAACTACCAGCCGCTCCTGGGGGGGAAAGACAGGCCTTTCAAAGAGTTACAGCCTTGGAGACCCACGGGGGCCTTTCTACCCTGTCCTAGAAGGTCCCTATGAGTCGGCATCGACTGGATGGCGGTGAGTTTGGTGTTTGTTGTCTGTCAGGAAGCTCAACCATGGTTTTGACATTGGTAAAGTCAAAGGTCGGTGACAAAGAGTCCAACGTTCCAGGTGACAGTCTGACACACACGTGACCCGTGGGCCCCAACATGCCCTTGGTCATGAAGATGGTGCAGGGCTGGGCGACACTTCATTCGGTTAGACAGTAGGTCAGCGTGAGGCGGAGCCAACTCTGTGGCCGTCAACCCCAGCACCACTGGGCGGTCCAATTCTACCTGCCAAGCACACACTTGGAGGGGCGAGAAATCAAACAGGACGCCCGCCCGTCACCATCATTTTATTTAGCCTCGCAATAGGCCAACACTCATTGGTGCGCCTTGAGGCAGGGTATGTAAGAGTCTTTGAACTCACACTGTCATCGTCGAGTTGCTGACTCACAAGGACCCCACAGGCCAGGGTAGCACTGGCCCTGTGGGTTTTCCAAGACTGTCACTCTTGATGGGAGTAGCACAGAAAGAAAGGCCTGTCCCTCTCCCGAGGAGCAGCTGGTGGTTTCAAACCACTGACCTTTCAGAGTGCAGCCCAACCTGTAACTACCACACCCCCAGGGCTCCTTATTTTAACCCTCGGAAGGCCAAAGGGGTCAGGATTCCAGAATACGAGAGAGCCCATTAACCCTATAACACCGAGCATGATGTTTTCGTAACATTTAATTAAAGGTATATATTAATGTATGTATATTGATAACTATGAAAGTAAAGAATAAAAACCGAAAGTTTTTTTTCCCTGAAATTAAAAATTCAGGCTTTATAGGGTTAAATGGAATACACTGGAGTCTTAGTAGAAACCAGCCCAAAAAGCCAAGGCAGGCTCGTTCATTCTGACCTTACAGGACAGGATAGAACTGCCGCGGTGGGTTTCTGAGACAGCTAACACTTTACGGAAGTTGGAAACCCTGTCTTTCACCGACAACCTGGTCCGAGGTCTTGATTTCCCCATTCTGCTCAGGGCTGACAATGACTCCAGAGTAGAACTTGTCCCCAGCACTGACAGCCACTCCTTTGGAACAAAGATTCTAGGGGCACACCGGTGCCCTTTCCCAAAGCGGTGGCTCCAGTCAGCAGCCTAGCGAACCCAACACTGGCCCACGGAGCCAGGAGCTCTTCAGCTCCTTGCTGCCCAAGGGAGCCGCCAGCCTGGCTCGACGGCACACCGGAATGAATGATGCAGAAGGGCAACCTTATGGAAAACAACCTCCTCACCGGGTAATTTCCCTCAAAGCACGCGAGATCCAGAGGGAAGTGTGTCAGGACCATAATCGGTGAACCCTGATAGACTAGAAGAAGAACGCAGAACTGAGCCTCGCCTACCTTTGGGAACAAATCAAAAATGCAACAAAAAAACAAACTTACTGAACCAGTGGAGCCTGGAGACTGTTGCTCTGGGACATTCTTTCATCCTGACTTGAAACGAGCCCCTTTGGCCACCGTTTAGCTAAATGACATACTGGCCCACACAGTGTAGCCTTTCTATCTGTGAGCACTGTGCGCCTCAGGACAAAAATCTATACGAGACCAGTGGTCAATGGCTACTTTACAACAGAGAGTGTCAGGGCCAGGCAAGCCAGATACATGGGCACAGAAATATTGAGACAGCCCTGAACCAACTCATTCAACATTGGCAAAACCAAAAACCCAAACTCACCACCATCAAGTGGATGCCGACTCACAGCGACCCTATAGGAAAGGGTAGAGCTGCCCCTGTGGGTTCCCGAGGCTGTCATTCTTCCTGGGAGCAGACAGCCTCATCTTTCTCCCTCAAAGTGACTGGTGTCTTTGAACCACTGACCTTGTGGTGAGCAGCCCAACACATAACCCTCTTTGCCACCACAGTGCTCTTAGCGCTTGCTGAGTGGGAACCCATTAAGCGCGGTATAAGCCTTCACTGCAATTAATACTGTTTTCTTCAAAAGGAGGGGGAGAAAGTCTGTACAGGGCCAGGCCACGCGAACCTAGTTAGGGAGTTCTGTCAGGAGCCTCCTCATTGCCCACTGGCACCTGCAAACAGCAGCAAGGGTTTTTCCAGGATGTGGGTCTTGCCTTAAGACTTCTGAAAACATTGAGAAACGATGTACAAATGCGCTTTACACAATTGATGTGTGTATGGATTGGGATAACAGTTGTATGAGCCCCTAATAAAATGTTAAAAAAAAAAAAAAGAATTCTGAAAACAAAGGAAGGGAGGCTGCCAGAGCCTCACAGAGACAAAGAGGTGGTGGCAGCCCCCGGGGGAGCGGCCCTGAGGACTGACCTGTGGTGCTGAAAGCCGGGCCACTGGTAGTGATCTCGGAGGGAGGCTTCTCTTCTCTGGCAGAGGCAGCGCAGGACAGCCAGGTTCAGGGTCCAATGGGTGGGCGAGGCACCATGCAATTTCCTCACGAGGGTCCAAGCAGCAGACCCAGAGCCTCTGACTTCTAAAGCCAACAGTTAGGCCCTTTTTTCAAATAACCGTCTCCTTGGAATGGAGGCCTGACTGCATCTCCATGGTTGGTCCTCGAGGGGAACGGGTGGAAAATAAAAGGAGGGGTCTTCTTTAACAAAAGCGGAACGAAGGTGACAGGCTTGGTGATGATAAAGGCAAGACTATCGTGGGGAGACAAGGTGAAGACAACCCCCCCACCCCCACCCCTGCCCCAAACATCCCCAAACCAAATGCTGGATTCCGCTTCAGAGCCACCCCAGAGGGCAGAGTGGAACAATGGCCCTTTTGGGTGTCAAGGATTCAAATCACATGACCCCCAATTTATTTGGCCTACCACTACTCCTTTTGGAGGGGAAAAAAAATAAATAATGACTCCGTGCCCCTCCCTGGGCATTTAAAAACTTTTGTACTTAGTCTGGGACAAAGTGGAGAGATCTGCTTTTGCCACCTCCAGCCCCGATCAGTCCAGCGCCCCCTACTTTGGCATCACCCCCTCTGGAGACGCTGCTTTCAATCTTTACAGAAGCAGCCACGGTGTGCGCCCCGGGGACCCATCGTGGGGCAATTTCAGCGACATGGGGCTATGCCCTGGGAATGAAAAATGCATGCGTGCACATAGCCCTAAGATGGGGATGAAATCCACCGACAGGTGAAGAGGAGTGGTGTGGGGGTCCTAGAATTGGGAGAGTGTGTATCAGCTTCCTTGAGAGTGGTGCCTGCTCTCTCAACTCCTCCCTCAAAGTAGCACCCCAGGTTGAGGCTGCGTGGACAGTGGGAGGCCCAGGGAGCTGGAGCCCAGGCCCCGTCTGGCAGGTCAGTGCAAGGAGAGCCTTCCAGCCTTCATCTGTTGCCTGCACTTGGCTCAGCAGCCAACCATCAGGGCGGAAGGAGGGGACGTCCATCAAGTACCTACCCAGCTGGCTGTCAGCGCAAACAGTGAGAACTGCTGATGGACAGGCAATTTTCATAGACGCGAAGTTTGTTCCATTTTTGTTTTTAAGTCTTCAACAAAGGCTGCCATGTGCGCCGGTATTAAGGTTCTTTGGGCAAGAAATTATGCGGGAATATTTCCCATGCCTCATTCATTCAAGTGTGTCCTATCTCCGGGGACACTTAAGATTCACCCGTCCGGTCACTGGTCCTGATGGTTAGACTGGGCAAAAGCTCTGTGCCATGAGGACAACAGTACCTTCTCTCCTCACCATAGGGGCAGTCCCTCAAGGAGGGGGGAAGGGGTGACGGAGGGGAGGGAGAGAGTAGAAGAGGGAGCCTCTTCCCAAGGGAAAAAAGGCTTCAAGCAAACTGCCACTAAGTACCTTGAAGACAACGGTTCTCAACCTGTGGGTCATGACCCCTTTGGGGGCTGAACGACCTTTCCGATGGTCTTAGGAACTGAGACCCGCTCCTCTATCTGTCTCCTGTCTCCAGGCGGGTCCGCCCACATGCAGATCTGCTGATCTGGTGAGAAAGAAGCTATCTCAGCTTTCCCACCTGAAGTTGGCTTTTTATACGTACTGTTGCAAAATGTAGCCATGTAGTTTACTGTTGTTATATTAAGACTGTTACCCTTGCTGCACCATGCTTCAAGACAAAATTTCATCTATTTGTTATTAGAAATCAATATTTCACAATATAGAATCACATACCGTTTTTGGGATGAATCACTGTGCTTTCATGATGTTCAATTTGTAACCATGAAAATGCATCCCGCCTATCAGATATTGACATGATGATTCCTAACAGTAGCAACATGACAGTGAGGAAGTAGCAACGAAAATAATGTCATGGTTGGGGGTCCCCACCACATGAGGAGCATATGAAGGGGTCGCGGCATTAGGAAGGTGGAGAACCACTGCGACTATTTCAAACCTTTCTCGTCCCCCAAGTTAATATCCCTTCCTTGAGGTCACGATTGTGCTTCTGTTCTTATCACATGAGTGTCTACTTGGCAATTTTTCGAGTTCTTCTTTCTTCCCTTCCTGCAGCTGCACTCCAGAAGACTCACTGCCACTGAGTTCATTCTGACTCACGGCAGCCCGACTTCTAGGGCTACTGTTCTGCAATCACCTAAAATGCGATAGAAACAAGAGGCTGCACGAAACACAAGACAAAGCAAACAAAAACCCTGGACTGGATCAAGGCATCTTGATTCTTTTTGATTCAGACTCTCTTATTTTCCCAAGGTAAGTACTTAACCTCTGCAAGCCTCAGTTTCCTTATGTTGAAGTTGAGCATAAACAGACCTATCTCCTAGAGTTCATAAGGGGGCCTGGTGGTGCAGCCGGTTAATGGCCTGCTAACCACAATAATGGTAGTTCGAACCCACCAGCCACTCTGTGGGAGAGGTGAGGCTGTCTGCTGCCACACAGACTGACCATCTGGGAAGTGCTCTAGGAGTAGTTCTACAGCAGTGGTTCAACTTCCTAATGCTGCAACCCTTAAGTATGGTTCCTCTTGTTGGGGTGACCACCCCCCAAACCATAAAACTGTTTGTTGCTACTTCATCACTGTCACTTTGCTACTGTTATCGGGGGACCCCTGTGAAAGGGTCGTTTGACCCCCAAAGGGCCGTGACCCACAGGTTGAGAACCGCTGTTCTACAGGGTCATTATGCACTGGCATTGACTTGATGGCAGTGGGTCTTGTTTTGTGTTAGGGTTGCTAACAGAGCACGGGTGGCAAGCATGGTTAAGTGCCTGGTTGCGAACAAAAAGGTTCATAGTTTGGACCCACTCATTGATTACACAGCAGAAAGACCTGGCGATTCTGTAAGGATTACTGTCCAGGGAACTCCCATCTTTTGTTCACATGGAGTTGCTGAGTCGGAATCAACCTGACGGCCCTCAACGTCCTTGCTTCGACAATGCACAGCAAACATACTCCTTGGGCTGTGCTAGCCCTGTGGTTAGCAGTGCCAAACCATCAGCTGCTCCAAGGGAGGAAGATGACACTTTCTACCACAGGGCAAGTCTACCCTGTCCTACAGGATCGCTGAGAGTTGGAATTGGACTCAATGGCATTAAGTTGCGGAGTTTAAATTAAAAAAAAAAAACTTGAATCTAGTAATCAGAGCACTGTGATTATTAAAAACGAAGGTATTAGGGAAGTCTGAAGGTAGATAGCATGTAAGTGATCTTTTCTGTAGTGTTGTAATAGCTCCAATGTTTGCTTTAACTTGGCTAGGCCAGTATCCTCTGTTGTTTAGCAGTGAATACCTAGGGGAGCACTGGTAGCATAGTGGACTAAGCACTGAGCTGCTACCTGCAAGGTCAGTAGTTTGAACCCACCAGCCACTCCACAGGTGAAAGATGAGTGGCTGTCTACTTTTGTAAAGACTTAAAGGATTGGAAACCCAAGGGGCAGTTCTACTATGAGTCAAGAGCCCATTCAAGGGCAGTGGGTTTTTAAAAAAATTTTTAAAAATTCCCTAAGACCTGACCTAACACAATATAGCCACAGTCAATCAATTGTAAGCTTCCATAGTGGAATAAGATTAGGGTGGAATGTAACATCCTTACTCAGGCCACAGTCCTGATGTAATTAGCTGCCTGGAGGTGTGTGTCTTGCTTGCCATAGAAGTAGACTCTGGGTGGCAAGCTTGTTTACTTTTTCTTGGGTCTGGATCCCGCACTTGTTCCTTTGGACTTGAGCTGATGGCCTGCACGCTTCAGTTACCTCTGGAATCACAAGCCTGACCTGCTGGTCTTGGATTTAAGTTATTGGCGTTAGGAGCCTCCAGCTTAACCTGACTCACTATGAACCAGCCTGGAGTTGGATCTGCCTGCTTTCACAGCTGTGGACGCCGTCTTCTTGATGTCAGTCTCTCTCTGGGTTTTCTGAGGTTGTACATTTTTACGGGAGCAGACAGTCTCACTTTTCCAGGAGAGTGGTTAGTGGGTTTGAACTTCTGCCTTTGATGTTGGCAACCCAATGCATAAGCTAACGGTGTGGCACAATCTACCTAGGTAAATGGTATTACCAACACCTTCACACACAGAGAGGGAGCATGGTTTTTCAGAGTTAACGAAGTTCTTGAATATGGACTTACTTCTAATTCAAAAGCAATTAGTTATTTGGAAGAAAAGCAAGTAAGGCCTAGAAACTCTTTGACTCACAGAATGTCACAGGGAAATTAAGAATTTAAAGTTGCCCGTGGGGTCAAAACAGTGAACTTAGACCAGGTTCAAGGTTTCCTTTATTGATGTCATGAACCCCAGCTGTTTTTATTGTGAGCTGTGTGCTAGACACAGTTCTAAAGCATATCACACAGCAACCCTCTGTGAAACGGGGTATTAATTATCCCATCTTGCAGAGGCGGCAACTGAGGCTCGGAGCTGCGAGGGAGCTCTCCCAAGGTCACCCATAGCAAGCGAATACAATGTGCGAACTCTTGTTTGGGTCACCTGGGGGCCCGGCGTCTTTCCTGAACACCAATCACCGCCACCACAAACCCTTTTCGCCCGGCTTTACCCTTTTATAAAGAACGATCGTAATGGAGAAGAAAAGGCGTGGAAGGGCAGCAGAGCGAACTCCCTGGAGGGCGAAACCTACTTCTTCACCCCTGCCCCTCCCACCTGGGGAGACGGAGACCGGTACCCAGGGCCACCCCATCAAGGGCCCCGGTCTCACCTCCTAGAACACTCGAGACCCTGATTTCACCTGCCGATCGCTCGCTTTGCCCAACGGGGGGCCCCCGCGACCGGAGCCCGGGCCGCAGATGCAGCCGCTTCAGCCCGATGCCCCTGATCTCTGCCAGGTCTCAGGCAGCGGCCGAACCCCGACAGCCATCTTGGTCGCGGGAGCGACGCGCTCAGCGCTCCGTTCGGAAGCAAGTATCCACTTCCGGTGACGAGCGTTCCGCACGGCTTCGGCACCCGGAATAGAAAAACCTCCTCCCACGCCATCCTTGCCTCTGGAAGTTTAGAAAGTGGAGCGTTCAGGAGCTGAACTAGTGTCTGATCGAGCTGAAAGGCGGGTTCCCTTCAGGCCGGGGACTTGCGTAGAGCCGCGGCCGCGGGGCGTGACGGACGCTTTAGCAGGACGCACTCGGAGGGGCCGGAAGTCGTTTGCGGGCACCGGAAGGGTCCGCCCCGGCCCCGCCTCGAGCGAGCTGG